TAGACTTAAATATTTTATACACGGATTCTCCTCATAACGAGTTCTTAACGTCTATACGTTTGCAAACCGTTTCGTGTTTTTTTTTTTTTTTTTGGTTATTATGGTATATTACGGCCATTGGCTATTGAGATTTAATAAGATTTACAGTAATACATGGTGTTTACAGTAATTTATTAATCAATTTTGTATAATTTACCATAGTTATTATTTTGGGTACCAACAGGCTTTAATTATAGGTAAATGTGTACAATTTGTATTCGTTTGATGTTTTTGCAATAATATCAGAAAACCTGGAGAGTCTCCAACTCTCAAAAACTGACACAATGAATTTGGTCTGAGGCCTATTTGGTACACTTACCATCGTGGAAACATAATATTTGTTATTTTGTAAAATGCCAGTATGTAAAAATAATAGAAGAACTCGCATCTAGTCTAAGACATTTCCACTTTGACACCAGTAACGGGCAATAAATATTTACCTACCTCTGCAGAACACCCCCTAAATAACTATTAATTGATTGAAAATTAAAGACAGCTGTGGACGGTAAGTCGACGAGATTTGTAACGACGCAGGAATTCGCATTAAACCACAGTGATTTTCAAACACTTAAAAACCAATAAATCAATCCATTGACACATAAATCGATTCAAAAGAATTTTATTACAATGCGCACAACGATGTACGAAATATAACAAAGGACTCGTCGCCATTGGCTGGCTACATTGACCATGATAGGTACCTAATGTCCTAATAGTTTTTTGAAAACATTTTAAATATGCTTACTTATAATCTGGGCCCGGATTTTCGTTCATACTTTTAACTCTGAATAATTCTGTTTAAATACGTGAACGTTTCGTAATGCAGAGATTCTATATTTAATTTTTTTTTCATATTTTTGCATATAATTTGAATAAACTTATATTATATTATATGTTAGATATTTTTAGACAGTCATTGCAGAATATAAAATATGTTGCATGAACATTAGTGAAAATGATTTAAATTTCACTCAAAGTAATTTGAATATATTTTACTTATCTGCTATTTTCCATTATAATTTTTTGATAATTTATAATGTGCCTATCACGGGCTATATCATGCTCGTATTTTGAACCAAAGATAATCGAACGATCGGCTGGCCAAATATTTATAAACTCATGAATATATTTTATAGAGTGCTAAATCATAGAAATATGCAATAGTGCTATGAACTAAAAATGCTCTGGGTGCCATTTGAATATAGTTTCAAACAAAATTAAAAGCAACTTACGAATTGTACATCTGTAAAATTAACAACATTTAATAATCTATTTCAATGCAAAGTTACCTCACACATCATATTGTATAATTTATGTTATTTATTTATTTGTGCATATCCGTCATAGTATATTATAATATTACTTTAATGCATACATTATATTAAGTGCATCATATTATCAAACTTTATTTTTCGCAAAAATCCTGGCTGTAGTGCTTTACTTAAAAGTTTCAGTAAAAAGTTAAAACGAGGCTTTGTCTAAAATTGTTTGGCTGTAAAACATTATGGTACTAATTGATTACACGATGTTATTGATTATTATTAAGCTTCAAACCCGACATTGCAGAAATAATTTAGCTCTCGAACTTTGCACGTCGCGCGTGACGACCCTATACAATCGCCCAAGCACAAACGATACACAGTAAAACGGATGATAGGTAAGTAGTCTCTGCAGTTAATTTATTTTTTCTATTGATTTATTGATGCGTTTTCACTACCACTTGCATATTTCTATGCACGAACTGAATTCATTTAACGTTTAATTATATGTATCAACAAATATAATTAAAACCATTTTTTAAATCGTACTATCTAATTTTATTTGATCTGATATAATTAAAATTGCACTTAAATGGCGAACATTAAAAATATAATATAAAGGTAGGTACAATGAATTATAATTCACGTACACTCAGTCGTGATAAACCGTATATATGTTTGAACTTTGCAACTTTGCTCTTGTGCAAAAGTTCTACATTAATATTATTACATACACGTATTTTATCATTTTTATTAGTTCCTAGTAAATCAAACTCGCGAATATGAACTACATTATATAGATAATAATATAATATTAAAACATCTTTATGATAACCAATCAAACGTGTAACCGAGTAAGTACGTTACCTCCATCGCATTACATAGTAGGTATCATGAGGTTGTCTCCGTCTTACAACCAAGCAACTTGGAAAAATTTTCGTTTGCAGCAATAACAATTTTTTGTTGTTGACTGTAAGCTTTATAATATAATAACTAAAGCAGACGGTCATAATTATAATCATTATTAATTATCAAACATAAAAACATTATCTGCGTTCTCGGCACATTGGGTTTTTTTTAAAACATATTATTCTACATTTTTAAGCGAGTCGTGAGCATTTCGAAATGATATAAAATAACATTATATAATAAATAATATAATTCATCTGGTCATGACTCGGTTAAAACTTAAAATATCGTAATGAGTAAAATACAACTAGACTACTCAGATAATAATATTCTCACCTTTAACTTTGATAATAGGTCAATACTTACTCACTCTTTAATAATATTTTAAACTAACGACAAGTGTCGTAATTTTGGGGACATTTGTAGAATTTAAAGGGGTTTATTTTGCCACCCCTAGATATGCCAACAGTAGAAATCTCAGATGCCATCTACATTAGAGAAAGAATGCAATACATTCAAGTATTTAATATACATTTATAAGATAAACATATCTTTACCCTCAATTATTATTTCAAGCAACATCGTTAATTATTTCACATTTATTTTCTCCTGTTGTATAATATAATATAATGCTGACGTATTGTCAACGTTATCACATCATCTGGATTAAAAAGATAACCCAATTAATTTCATCATAAATTATGCTTACAAGTTTTATATTATATATTATATGTTTTAAACAAGTTATACCACATATTTTGTATGAACTATTATGTTGTACTTAATATTATTATTATTTAACGATATGGGTAAGTACTATAGGTACAACGATTTGTTCCTAATCCACGCTAAATGAGTTTTAAGACTTATGTGCATAAGCAAACAAGAATTAGCTAGGTTGATGGTTTCGATTTTGGAAAATTAACTACTTTGCCCTGCCCTTCTCTTAGTTTTTCACCCATTTACTGCACAGCTGTAATAGCATTACAACCCTGTTGAACGTAAATTACGATAATAATAATATTATGTTATGCATTAGTTGTATAAGACGGAGAAAATGTCAATATGTCATGATGACGGTATGACATCCTCAAATGCATACTAATATTATCGATTTATTTTATATCCGATATGAGTATAATATGACGTCATTAGAATGATGAGTTATGTAGGAATAACATATTATTATTTGATCACATTTACAAATATTATATTAATATTAGACTAGTGATTCGTTACTTCGAAGTTTAAAAAAGAAATTTAGCAGACGTCGGTAACAAAAAATTAATAATAAATAATAATTATATTTTACTAGCTGACCCGGGAATGGTTCTCCATTGTAAGATTTCTCAGATATTAATTTAATATTTATTTTCTGTATGTTAAATAATTATTTTTATTTTAGATCATTTTTAGTCAAGTTTCCATGGTAATGTACCCATATAAATTTAGCGTCGCCACCACGGATTCTTCAAAATGTTAAAAAAAAAATGGTATCATCTGTTTTTGTTTACCAAGGTTACCAAACAATTATTGTATTAATCATACTACAATTTTAAAATGTTCATAGGTATCTCTCCGACGGTTGTTTTAAAAAATACAAAATAGAACTTTTAATTTTCAATTTTGACCTTTCAAGAGTCCAACTAAATAAAATTTACTACCAGAAACCTCCATTGAAATTGACGCTTCACCATGTAACACCGTTGATTATTGATGCTAATAATAGATACTCAGATAAAATTAATTGTTTTTTTTTTTCGCTAAACTAAATAATTATAATAATTGTTTATTATTCCACGTCGATACCGACCTACCTAGAATGTGTGGTTGTAGAGTTTGATTGTAATTTATTTTCAGCCAGCGAGTATTTCTTACTAAAAAAGGTATATGTATACAATTTACACGTTTATTTTAATTAATAATAACTTATTATTTATTAACTAAATTTATGCCTAAAACCTTCTCTGTGATGTCCTCTTTAATTTAAAAACAAACTGCACTTCGATTGAATAAGTAGTTTGGGACTTTATCCGGAAAAAAAGAAGGCGACTTAATTTTATATAGTAGCATAGATTATATACGTTATTCTGTGCGTCGTCGGCCAACATATTGTTTAATTGAAAGGACACTTTTAGTTAAGTATATTATTATTCGACCATTTTATATTTATTTTTATTGACTGTATGTCTACGTTATCAGTCCAGGACTTGGAACTTTAAACATGTCATGTTACGATCGTAGATTGGCACTTGTTTTAAGTGTGGTGTATTCGATACAAATATGCTTCACATATTATTGCACAATAGACTTTCCTCGCAGCCTATTATGTTGATGTTTTATGCGTATAATATAATACTTATAATATAGACACACATAATCCACTTGGTTGTATCAAGTTCCAAACCCTAGTATAATCACTAATGCATTTTCTAAGACCTGTGATTAAGTTGACGATCGTTGTGTTGTAATTCTTATTCAAATAGTCGCTTAACTTCTTAAAAAAACATATATAATGTTACTCAAGTACTTAGAACAATTCAATATAGTTTATTCATTATTTATTTAATTTGGAAACCTGTAAAATGTAATAATAATTATTTATTTACAAAAAAAAAAAAAACAAATAAACGTAGTGTATATACTATATACCTACATTAAAAACAATTTACATTAAAATTTAACATAAGTTACAGATCATTAAAAAATAAATAGTAGAAAAACAATAAATAAAATAATATTAAATATTAAATATTTAAGCAAAATGTACATTTACAGTGTTTTCAACCTCTAAAAATATGGATATTATTTGGTATGATATTTTAACCAGGCAAAGGCTTGATTATAAAAACACATACCTAATCATAATATTATAAAACTAAAAAAATATTAAGATTTACTGGATGACGTATCTATATCATCTAAGTTGGTAAAGATACAAAATATATAAAATACGAATCGCCGATGTACCAACTGCGACAACAATGACACCACTAGGATCGAAGTTAACCGTTGAACCCAACTACAGTCGTCTTCTAGACTAGTGCCTGTGTACTAGAGATATTTGATTCGTATAATTTGACTTTGTGTTGTGTAGATGTATATTTTTTAAAATGGTCTGTTAAAACTTAAATTATACACGGGTCACCGTTAATACATTTAAATGGTAAACATACATTATGCTACGAATTTTACATTTGGATATGTGTTATTCGTCGTCGTCCAATAATATATATATAGGAGCCACTTCATGTTGCGTGGAGTACTTAATGGACGTTATTGATCGTTATTGGCCTGGAGGCTTTTGGAGTTTCGCACAATTTCACTATCACTCTGGTAGGAACGTCTTGGCCGCCGGGCGCTGTCATCGCTGAGGGCACCTCGTTATTTTTCACCGCATCCATGACGCTGTTCAGCAAACCGTTTTGAGCGTGACCGTTGGTCACCGGCGACGAAGACAATGCATCGTCTTCGTTGGGTCCGCTACTGTCGTCTTCGTCGTCGCTATCGTGGTCTCCCAGCAGATTCTCTTCCACCGAACTAGCCGGCGAGTCGTCACGTGCGTCCTCCGTGTTGGCCTGTTCGTATTTTATGTCTTTGAGCTCGACGGACTTATCATTGCTGGACACAATACTGTGACTCCGTGATTTTCCCATACACACGGCCTTGTACACAATAGCTACGATGACTATTAGCAATATGGCCGCTGTCCCAGCTATATAGACATTAGACTTTAGGAAATCAGCTACCTGAGTCTGGACGTTGTCTTCGTCTTCTGGCGCTTGCGCTTGTATCGTCTGAGAGACAATACCGCGGTCCATGCTGGATGGCATGGTCGATGAATTTCCATCGGTTGGATTGACCGAAGGTTGAACGTGAACCATTACTTCCTCGGTCGGGAGTATAGTGGTGTCGTCCGTTTTGTCTTTAGATGATATTTCCACGGCGGTAGTAGTGGGTTCTAATGAAGTCGTTTCGATTTTAGGAACTATAAATGTATCACCCACGTGAGTTTTGGTAAATACTTCTTCTTCGACTTGTGTATTGTTTTTGACTTCGTCAATCTGTGTATTATTTTGTACGTCTTCGATATAGGTATGTGCTGTAGATTTAACTTCTATCATCGTAATTTCACCATCACCGCTACCTGACCCCGAACCAGAATCGTCAATTTCTTCCGTTGAATGTATCATACTTTTATCGATTTTTAATAAATGATCTGCTTGGTACATGTCCATGGGGTCGTCTCCCATCATTTCTTTGTCTGAACATACTTCAAACATATCACTCAATGGTTTTCCTGTATTATCACATGTTATAGAATTTCCGAAAGCCACGCCCCTAGACGATAATTTTTTATCAATGTCCGAAAGTTCACACGTGCAGTTAATTGGATTTCCGGTAAGATCAATTGTTCGCAAACGTTTATATGCTTCCAAGTCTTCGTAGATGTATTTGATTTGGTTGTGGGCAAGGTTTACAAACTTGACACCGGAAGGTCCAAATTGTGAACCGAGTGCTTTGAGTTCGTTTTTCGTAGCGAACAAGTATTTTAAATTAGGTAAACTTTTGAAATACACATTTTTCAGTGTGGTCAACCCACATTCGGATAAGTCAAGTTCGGTAATAGATTCGGACACAAGGAATGAAGGACCCACAAAGAGTCTAGGGTTTTTACTTAATGACAAGAATGCCAGTTTCCGGTTGTTCGTGAATGTATTTCGGTGTAGTTTTCTAATTCCCGTACCTACAAGATTAAGTTCCACTAATTCCGGTAACCCATCGAACGCCAAATTTCCCACGTAGTGTATCGTACCCCCACTAATATCTAGATACGTAAGCCGCGGGAAGTGTTTGAATGCCTTGTTTTTCAACATAACAGTTGACGCTCGATCAGTTTCAAAGTGAATTCGGAGAATTTTTTGTGGCCATGCGGTCGTCATTTGATCCGGTAAGTCGGTACAATTAGCTCCTTGTATTCCATTCTCGGTGGTGAAACATTTGCACGGATGGGGACATGGTACTGTAGCGGATGCACTTGCAATAAACAAGGCAAACAGGACCGTAAATGCTTGCATGGCTTGTGGGATCATAACTGCATTTCTTCCTATAACAAAAAATAAAAATAAAACATTTAGAGGACTTCAGAATAAAATTACCATGATAATAATATTATGTCATTGTATTGATTTTGTTTTGTTTCGCAGGATGTATCTATTGCTAGAATTGATGTGCTATAATTTAACAATAATTTAGTAGAGAGTATAATAATATATATTATATTATAACGAATATAAAAAAGTATAATAAATAATACTATCATGTAATATTTTCTAGTATTAGATATTATGTTAAAAGTTATTCAAAACACGTCGATAATATGCATAGTTTAATCTCACAAAATAATGACCGCAGAACACATTAATTATCAGGTAACGGGGTGATTAATAAAATAAACGCGATAAAAATTGACGAGCGTTTATTTATAAGATTTGGAATGTGCTATCTATAATACTCGTACATCGTATTTGCCTATAAGTATCTTGTTATTTAGTAGCTTATAATTTGGTTGAAAAAATGTAATAATTTGTAAATAGTATTAAGTTATAATATGTGCAATGAAAATATTTGCGTTTAACACTGACGACAGGTACTATATAGTTGTGAATTGACAGACAAAATAGTATTTCAACGCTAAAGAATATTCTTAGTATTAATTCTACTCATAATAAATAGGTTTATGCATTTAAAATAATTATGATTGAAACTTATAAATTAATTACAATATTATTCATTGATTCAAAAATAAAATATATAACGTGCAAATAATAAAGATCGGCAAAACGACTATTATTTAGTAATTATTTCATTATGTGGTAAAAAGGCAAATTGATTATTGTTTTTAAACTATTGATTTATGTATTTATTTACTAAACTGTTCAATAAATCACGAATGTTAATTTAATAGATAAGGCCCAAAATATATTATAATATTAAGTCCCGAGTAAACTGAGGTGAAGATGCTAGCTGGTAAGTTTCCGTCTAATTCATATTTTAAAATAGGCATTATTTATATGAATAGTTTAAATACCAGTGAGACATAATAATTATTATAAATTTGCGATGATATAAAAACGGTATAGCTTTTCAGGCTAAGAAAGTTCAAATTAATTATTCACAGGATCTTTGATTAGATTATTTGCGAATAATACTATTATGTTCTCTTACCAATTATTCACCTACAAGCCAAGTCTCCTGTTTAAGATATATATTAGAGAATATTTAACTTTTAAGTTATAATAATCATATTAGTATTATGAAATATTTGGGTAATATATTTAGTGAACTGCAGTTTTTACCATCCTAGTCATATTAAAAATAACTAACAAATAATACAAAATATATTTTATTCGTTATAACACAGAATAAGGATCATAAGTTAAGTCCAATAAATAGTTTTAACAGATTATTTTATTTAAATTAATATAAATTATTACTTTATCAAAATGATATGATTTAATATATTATTCTACTAACGAAAATGTATAGATTATAATTATTTTACATTTCTTCGCTATCAAATAAAACATTATACAACTTATAAAATAATAATATAGTAAAATAAAATGCATAACACCGATTGGATATTTCCGACATTTCACTTCCTCTTGTTAACATTTCACATATATTATAACCCATAGTTCATAATTCATAAGACTTTAATCATATTTTGTATTTTTAATCCTTTTTAATGATTTCGTATGTGGTTTTACAGTATTATTTAAGGCACATACATTACCAAACAAATGTAATCTATTTAGTACACGAGTCATTGTTATTTTTATATTGCCACAAAAATATATTCTTTCAAATGACACTTCGCTTAATTAAAACAAATGTTTAGAATCAAGTCAAAATTATAGAAGATAACGCGAATTTCTACTATTGTCACAATTTGTTTTTAAGTTCAGAAAATGTAGGATTATAGTTTTCAATACCTTTAGTAAATAGCATTAATTTAATCGATTAGTTTTTTGTTTCAAATCCCACAACTACCTATTATTTGTTAAAAAATTTTGATTAATAATATTATAATACAGCACTAATATAATTATATTGTTCGTATAGACATACAAATATTATTATGATGCACATGTTCAATAACATTGAATACCTATAATTATATTGAACGTATATTTACTTGGGAATACGATATATTATAATATTCATAATATTATTACATCGAGGTATAATGATACGACTTGACTGAAATGAAAATGAACGACATAACCTAGTGATAATAATACACTGTATATTATAATATTATAGAGGTTACCGAAATGAGTCCCTCTTAAGGCACAACGATATTATATCATGATTATATTCTAGTACGTTTTCTAGTGAGTTGTAGTCAGTTGGCAACCAATCGTTGCACTTAAAATATATAATAATAATACGTTGCAGTATGTTTCACTAGACTTGACGAGAAGTATTGAAAACGGAGTAAACGGACAGTTAACGATATTAATACTTATTATATTGTACGTACATAATATTATTATACACACGCGGTATCGGATTGCTCTGAGATAAAATTGGTTCAGTTAGAATATTAAAAAAACTAGGTACGTTGATAACATTGAGCGAATAAAACGAGCAGCAAACTGTAATTAATTGTACACGCGTATATTATTATATTTTTCGCCACAATAATCCTCCGGATAATATTATTATTATTATAATTATTATTATTTAGGTATACTGTTTCGTTTCCTCGGCGACACTCGGATTCGCCTCGAGAAAAAAAAAGAATGAAAAATAATAAAATCCTAACTGCGGTACAATCGCGACTGCGGTTGCACCACAGTGGTCGTGTCTTCTTCCGAAGCGATTGTGTGCAAATGGCAAAAGCACGTGTGAAAAGTGAAACCGGTACCCATCTACTGCGGCACAGGTACACACGAACCGCATTCGGTAAAATCCGGTAGATTTGCATCGGCCTCAGCAGCCGAACACGATGCATTAATTCATCACCGATGCAGACAAATAGGTCGCGTATAATATCAGAAAACGGATCGTCCGAATATCGTTTCAAATATAGGTATAGCTGGTATATGTCATGGAAAACCGATCGTGACAAATTTTCGTATACATGCTCGCGGTTATTACCTATAGGTGCCCGCAGTATTATGGCTATTGCAAAATCTCTCGGCGACTCAAACGACGATTCAAATTTCACCGACGTGTTGGCAAAAAAAAAAAATCCGGACGGTTAACCTGATTCCGGCATAAGCAGTTTTGCTGCGACACATCACTATTTAGGTATATGTCGGTGGTGGGGTAGTGGAAATCAAACAGGTAATCGAATATTGTTTTGTCATTCCAGACAAACTGCAGCCTATAACATTATAGCCTAATAATAATTCAGTATACATCGGCCATGAACCTACTATGATATTATATTGATATACAGAGTGATTTACCGAGCTCGCACCTTTTCCCACCCTCCGATCGTACAGTTTTTGCAAGAATTATTTGACTTTGTGAACCAAGCACAATGTTATAGGCCCTGATAATGAATTTGGAATATTGGGGGAGGGGAATATATGGTGATTTGAAAATTGTAGTGATTAATCCATAACGAATTGTAAAAATGATCTAAGTTATAATACATACAGGATCCAATACCTGTATTACGCCTCTATTTTAATATTTTTGTACAACCATCTTTGGGGACTATGATAAAGCATTCCAGCTATTGACATGGAAATTTTAATAACTGAAAAACTAATTGTTCAAATCTTGAATTATGTACATCTACATTTAATTGTCCACTTAATAATGTAGAGTCAAAAAGGTGATTCTTATTTGAAAAACAGAAGTTTGCATCACTACAGTAGTGTTTTCTTTAAGTGCAGGTACAAAAAGTCTCAAGAATTTTACAATAGGTGCATTTTAAAAATCCAAAAATCTTCTTACGAATATCTGCATTATTGAGGAACAGAAAAGGTTGATATGGATCACCCTGTATATACCTATATACCGACACCGACAATAGAACTAGAGTAACGTTACAATGTAATAATAATATTACATTTTATGGTAAAATATTGGCTGGCCGGCTGTGCTGTTTATTCCGACACAATTTCGATACATAAATTTGTATTCCATTTTCGAGTTTTCATCAACTAAAAATGCAATTAGGTAATCTAATGTCGGACGAGAGCCATTGCACCAGTTGAGCGACTGTTACTACGTCTCATTAGTCGATTCCGTCGACCGTTTTCCGCACAGTTCGCATACATAAAGTTCTTTAGTCCAAAAACGAATTTATAATTAATAGTTTTTGTTCAAAACATAATAATAAACGGCACTAATACGCGAGAATTTAAACTTTCTGAAATATGCTAGTAGCGTTTTATATTCCACACGCGTTACTTATCAAACGCGAACGTTAAAAAATAATATAATGCGTACTGCGTACTGCGTATAATTAATATATCATTAAAAAAAAAAATGTTTTTTGGCTAAGTTTAACTGTCATCACGACGCTGGTAGTCGTTGGTCTTGACGACAAAATTCTTTTATCCCAATGTCATTCGTGAATATCGTATCTAATATATCGTTCACCAGTAAGTTGTACAGACTACAACAGCCAAAGAAACAGTCTCGACATTTCTGGTTGTTCTCGAACACACGGCACATTAAACATGCAATTCGTTGTAGTGTTTATCAGCTTTACTAATGTTTATGTCCCAAGTCCATACGACAGAACGTTTTCCTATAGTTTCACAAACGACAAAAACATGTCTAACTGTAACGATAAGGGGCCTTAGACCATATGCTCATATAGTGCCTGCTATTCGGTTTCATTACGACGTTTACCTATACACGAATAGACCACGGTTTTCTGCTTACGATTTTCCATACTTGACATATTAATACTCGCGTATTTTTTTGACTTTCTGCAACACTCACTAAAGGACCGAAATATTGTATTCAACCCTGTATTATTTTAATGGGACACAATAATTTTAAAACTAACTATACGGAGTGTACTCGGTTGTTGGACTACCATTCCAGAAAGTTATAAATATATACATGGAA